TGTTTTTTTGGACCCCAAAAGGGTAATTGTGATTCTCTCAAAGGGTACAGGACAATCACAGGGGCTTATTATGAAGAAATTTTAAGAAAATAGAAAACTGCGTAGTTGAGAGAAAGGCCAGGAGAATTGCGCTAGGGAATTTTTTCTATCGTAACAATCTGCTCATTCTTTAAGGGTACAAGAATTTCATTGGGAAACCTCACCCTTTCCACTCTACAGCCCTGATCTTGCCCCTCAGGCCTCTTTTTGTTCCCCAAACTCAATGAAAACGTCAAAGAACACGATTTAAACCCTCAAGGATACCAAAACGGCTGTTTTGACATTGTCGAAGGTTGTAGAATTCTTCAGGAAGGGTAAGAGAGATGGAAACACTGCCTGCAAAAGTGTACATAAACCTAGATCGAAGGTTTGTTGCAAAACAATAGCTTCACGTTTTGATATTTTTGTTAAATAAAGGTTTCTGTGATTTTGTAGCAATACTTTTTGACTTACACACATACAGTCAAGATACAGAACAATTACATCACCACACAGATCCCTCCTATTTTTCCTTTATGGCTACTCCTGTCTCCATTCTCCCAGGCTGCATCCCTGACCTTGACAGCTATTTATTTCTATCATTTTAAGAACATTATATAAGTGGAATGACATTTTGGGATTGGCTTTTCTTCCCCCTCACTCAGTGTAAATTCATCTAAATTGGTGTGTGTACAAAAATGCTACTCCTTTTTTATATGTTATGGAATCCTGGTGTGGCGCTGTGGGATAAGTACTGATCTGCTAATCACAAAATCAGCAGTTCAAACCCACTAGCCACTCCTCAAAAACCCTATACAGGGTCTCTATGAGTCAGAAATGACTCAATGACACTTAACAACAACATTCCCTGGCATGGATATATGAAAGTTGGTTTAAACATTAGCACACTGAAGGACATTTGGGTTGTTTCTAGTTTCTGGCTTGGTGAGGCTCACTGCCACAACCCTGACTCACTGTAATATGTGGTTTTGGAGAAAGGGGGATAGATGGAGAACAAGGAAACTTTGGCTTCTAGAAAGGATAAAAATCACCCTTGTATTGAAGCAGCTGTGCTGCTTACTCGACAAAGCTATTCATTGGGCACAGAATTAATAGATATAGATTAAATCCTCATGAATTAGCTATTTGGATGCATATGGAAATACCAGGTGATAAAGAAAGAGTTGTTGTTGTTGTTAAGTGCCATAGAGTTGGGTTCTGGCCTATAGTGATCCTGTATAGGATTTCCGAGGAGCAGCTGGTGAGCTTGAACTGCTGGCCTTGCAATCCAAATGTATTTTTCAGTCCAGCGCATTAACCAACAATGCCACACCAGGAAGGAGGGAGATATACAATTCCTTGCTTTTTGTTATCAGTAGTAGCTGCAATGGCAAGGAAAAAGAATGTAAGGGCTAATGAACCAAGCCCAGATCCAGTTAAATTAGAGCTATGACCACTTGTATTGGACTTGACTCCGAAAGGAAGAACTGGGTTAGAACAGCAGGAAGTACCTCTATGACTGATAATTACTAAGAAGGCACTCCAAGAAGGGGATGAGAAAAACCAAGAAGTTAATGAAACCAGGGGGTGAGGGTGAGGGTGTGGGGGTAGTGTACATGAATTGCTTCAGTTTATATATAGGGATTGTCAGCTTCCTGAGGAACCATTATGAAAATAGATTGTGAGAGCAACTAATTAAGGGCAGTATCTTTAGTTTTCAGATTCCTGATGTGGTGCTGTGAATCACAAGGGCTGTGATTCACAAGGTCAGAGGTTCAAACCCACCAGCTGCTCCTCAGAAACCCTATACAGGTTTACTGCAAATTGGAACTGACTCGGTGACACTTAGCAACATAACTACAACAATCTTTAGTTTTGAGTGCTACAGAATGAAAGAGTATGTTTGGGTCTATGCAAGATCCGCAACTCATAATGGAACAGTTATAAATGGTAACACTAGATCTATTTACACAGAAGGTTAACCCAGAAGGGACAGCCAGCCTGGTGGACTGGATAAAATTTGGAGTAAAATCTGTTTACCCTGAGAAGAGAAACTGCCCCTCCACCTCTCCAACTAACCAACCTCTCTAAATATTTAATGAAACACTCCAGAGGAAGCAGCTAATATGCTGCTTATGGAAAGCAATGTTGGAATGGCTTTATGGTGACCATGGTATGCATCCAATGAGTATGCCCCAAACACAGGTCATGGTAGATATGGTAATCAAGGGATCCCCTTCGACATGGGCACCTCATATAACCTTACTACTGCAAAACAGCAGCAATTCGAGAAACTATGCTGGATTTGTTGGCACAACTTCCCCATATGGGTTTTACAAGAAACTTAACGGTAATTAGCAGGAGAATTGTTGTTAAGTGCTGTTGAATCGGTTCTGACTCATGGTGACCCTGTATGGGCTTCCATGGAGTGGCTGGTGAGTTTGAAATAGCAGCCTTGTGGTTTACACTGACCTTGCAGTTCAGTCCTTTATCCCTCAGTGCCATAATGGGAAGAGGCATTTGGGACAGAATTTACCCCAGTAGGTGAGAGACTTTTTTAGATGGCTACTGAGAAATGGGATGACAAGAACAGATATTTATAGAGTTGATACAAAGGTTTTAATACAACACTACAGGAGGCTGCGGGGGAGTGGGGGGGGACCAAGGGAAACTTCTGCTAGTCCTGGTTAGTGTTGTAGGATAAGCACTGTACCACAAGATCAGTTTGAACCACAAGGTTGGTGGTTCAAACCCATCAGTTACTCCTTGACAACTCTATACAGGGTCACTGTGAGTTGGAACTGGCTCTATGGCATTAGCAACAATAACAACAATGTGAATATAAAAACATGTGTTAAAGTATGGTTTCCTTTTATCTCCTACAGATTCCAGTAACTTAGAACTTTATGTGCCCCCCCCTTTTCTAATCCTCAGATCATGTGTAAGAAAACAAAACATTTTGGTTGATTTTGTTATTTTTAAATAGATTAATTTCCAAGTTTTTTTTTTTCTGTTCATTTGTGGAAAAAATTAAACAAGCAACCTATTTAGAAGGAAAAAATGTGTTTTATTCCAAACTTACTTTCTCTAAAGAATACAGATGAGAAAAGCTCACTATTTCTCATTTGCTTTTCTAATAACTACTTGCACCTAATACTTTATCTGTTGCAATAAATACAAACTGACAGTGGTAGACTTTATCTTTTACTGCATTATATAATAAATGTATATGAGATTTCTGAAATTAATATTTAGTGCTAAGGTTTGTATTAGACTAACTGTAGCTTTTTAAGTTCTCTGAAACTCTTAGTACTATTAAAATTTGAATCACTCTTTGAATACTGTAACCCCACTTCCACTGAGTTGAGTGTAACCTATAATAACTATCAAAAGCATTCAACTGTGTGTATCATAACAAACTATGGATAACATTTAGAAGAATGGGAATTCCATCCAGAACAATTAATTGTGCTCATGCAGAATCTGTACAAAGACCAAGAGGCAGTTGTTCTAACAAAACAAGGGTCTGTTGAATGGTTTAAAATCAGGAAGAATGTGCATAAGGGGTATCTTCTTTCCCTATTGTCATTCAATCTGTATGCTGAGCAAATAAGCTGAGGACACCATACTCTCAGGATTGGAGGAAGGCTCATTCATGGTATCCTGTGATATGCAGATGGTATAACCTTACTTGCTGGGTGTGAAGTAAAATTGAAGCACTTGGTAATGAAGACAAAGACTACATCCTTCATTATGAATTACAACTCAATGTAAAGAAAACAAAAATCCTCACAATTGGACCAATAAACAACATGATGATAACCAACAAAAAAATTAAAGTTGCCAAGGATTTCAAATGACCTATTGAGTTGGGAAAATGTACTGCAAAAAATACTTCTTTAAAGTATTAAAGATAATAGATGCCACTTTGAGGACTAAGGTATACCTGACTCAAGTCATAGTATTTTCAATCTCCTCCTATGCTGGAGAATGAATAAATAAGATGGAAGAATAATTGGTACATTTGAATTATGGTGTTGGTGAAGAATATTGAAAGTCCCATGGACTGTCAGAAGAATAAACAAATTTGTCTTAGAAGAAGTACAGACAGAAATGCCTCTTAGAAGTGAGAATGGTGAAAATTTGTCTCACATACTTTGGACATGTTATCAGAGGGGACCAGACTCTGGAAAAGGACATCATGCTAGCTAAAGTGGAGAGTCAGCAAAAAAGGGGAAAACCCTCAACGGGATAGACTGATACAGTGGCTGTAACAATGGGCAGAAGCAGAACAATTGTGAGGATGGTGCAGGACCAGATAGTGTTTCTTTCTGTTGGGCATACAGTTGGAGCTGACTCAATGGTACCTTAGCGTTAACAACATTAAACATATATCTTTTCAGGCCCGTGGACTGTGTACCTGTGGGCAGGAGACTGGCTTGTAGAATATGCTCTTAGGACATTTAAATGATTATAAATTTTTTTTTTTTGGGGGGGTGCATAAAATATTTTTGTTTTGTTCATTTCTGAAATATGAGATATAAAAGAGAAGGCACAGGGAGGAAGTAGGATAACTGTTGTTACAGGGAGGGCATTGTAATTACTAAAAAACAACAAAGCATGTAATTTGTTGAATGTAAAGCTGATGATCTTGTCTGTTAACCTTCATTTAATGCAAAATAAAAAGTTAAAAGAAAAGATATATCTTTCATACTGTAAATGGGTAGATAACAAAATAACTAAAGATCTTTTATTTTATATAAATAAAAAGGAAGATGGTAAGTGTCAATCAAAACCCCTATCCTTTGAATCAATATATCACATTTAATGAACTATGGTAGATTTAATATTTTCTTATTGCCAGGACACCCTACTGTCTCATTACATATATTAAACTAAGTTCAGAAAACACAAATCAAAGATTCTTTACTAGCATAATCTTGCTATGGAAAAAATTCTCTCTATTTTTATTTCCTTTACAGATGTGGATGAATGTGCTATGAAGCCAAATATTTGTGGCACAGCTGTGTGCAAGAATATTCCTGGAGACTTTGAATGTGAATGTCCTGAAGGCTACAGACACAATCCTAAATCAAAGTCTTGTGAAGGTAGAGTTGTGGTGCTCTCATTGCTGATAGTAGAAAGAGTGGGGTTGAGCCCTGTGTTGAGATATTTAAGTATTGGTTTTGTTGAAAATAATCAGATTTTCTAAGATGGTAAAATCTATAATATAGCTAGTCATGTGGTAATCATTGACTTCTTTGAAGAATAAAGTGTGTATGATAGATGGTCTTTAGGTTTATTGTTAGATACTCTGATGGTTTTCTGATTTTTAAAAATGAACTAATATGTGTTTTTTTAATGAACCCAGGTTTTTTTGCTTTTTTTTTTTTTTTTTTTTAAACCATACTAGTGGGTTCTACCAATATTTTTGGTTGCTGTTGTTAAGTGCTATCTAGTTGGTTCCCACGTATAGTGATATAGTGACCCTGTATAGGGTTTCTAAGGACCAGCTGGTAAGCTTGAACCACCAACCTTGCAGTTTAAACCAACTTTGCAGCCCAGGGCATTAACCCACAGCGCCACACCAGGACTCCACTAATGTGTTTTAAAACAACAACAAGAAGGAAACCTAGGGACATGTGAAGACACCACTGCAGGCCAAATGAAGTAATAACAACAAACTCCACTCAGCTACTTATCCCAGTCCATGGGGACAATGGCATTCATTGCTTATCTATATTGCTCAAGTTTCTGGAGCTCAGCAATCATTTGGTTATGTTCAGATTTCCATTTATAGGTATTTAATATAAAAGAACTATGTCATTTCCTATTTTAGAGTAAATGGTTTACTTACATACTCAAATGAGAGTTTTGAAAAACTTAGGAAAAAATGTTAAGGTCTGTTACCACGCTCTTTTTTCCATCTGCAAAAATTTTAAACTTGTGTCTTTTTTTATATGTATGTGTTTTTTTCTTGCAGACTGAAATTCTCTTCACCTCTGAATATGATTTAAATCATATAAAAATGTGTGTAGCTTGTTTTCATCATACATGGAGGCCTCCATTCCTATGTAGCTTAAAGAGCCAATTAGCATATCTAACAGTACATCTAAAGACCATCTATCACACACTCCTTACTCTGAAAGGAGCTCTGGAAGCAACGTAGTGGTTACCAGTCGGACTGCTAACCTTAAGGTCAGCAGTTTGAAACTACCAGCTGTTCTGAGGGAGAAGGATGAGGCTTTCTGCTCCCATAAAGATTTACAGCCTCGGAAACACTGTACAGGGTCCCTATGACTCCACGACACACTATCACCACCAGATATATTGGAATCCTAGTATGGCTCTGTGGGTTAATGCACTGGACTGCAAAGTTGGTTTGAACCGAAAGGTTGGCGCTTCATGCTTACTAGTTGCTCCTTGGAAACCTTATACAGGGTCGCTATGGATTGGAACCAAATCGACAGCACTTAACAACAATAACAACCACATATATTCAAATTATCCCGTATCTTCCTTTAAAATTTTCAGAATTTAAATATTAATGTGATACCATAACAAAAATTAATCATATCAAATTAACCTTAGAATTAATCATATCAAATTAATCTTAGAACCTTTTTTCCAACTATATATGCTCCTGTTGAAATTTTGATGCTTTACTTCTTACTTTGCTTCCCCCAAAATGCCCATCCCCCGCCCACACCCCACACCACTTCCATACTGTCTTTGCTCCTGAAAGAAATTACTTTGGTAAACCTTAAGAATTGGCAGATATATCATTAACCAATTTCATCATCTATATTTCAGTTTTATTCAATGAGTGACAACATTTTTATTTAAATGGTGTGGCCCTGCAGGATAATGCGCTGGACTGCAAAGTTGGCTTGAACCAAAATACCAGTTCAAGCGCACCATCCGCTCCTCGGAAGCCCTATACAGGGTTGCTATGGGTCCAAATCGACTCAACAGCACTTAACAACAGCAACAGTAACAGCATTTATGAATTTGGGAATTCTTAAAGATCCTAGGGTGCATCCATTGAAATGTCAAGGAATACATGTGAACTCTGAAGTAGACTTTAGCTTAAGCATGGTTTTACAAGTTTTCAAAAATGAGTTTTGCAAAATATAGAGAGGGGACAGGATCATTTAGAAGATTTCAAAATATGGCCCTATAGGATCAGCACTGGACTGAGAACCACAAGGTCAATAGTTCAGACCTGCCAGCTCTCGGTATTTCAGCTCCTCATAATCTCTACACAGGGTCGGAATAGACTCATTGGCACTTAACAACAACAATCACAGTGAGGTGTTTAAAATATATAGGAAGAAATAAAGATAGAATTTTTATTTCTGCCATTAGTCGTTGCCTGTGACAATCAAATATTTTTGATATTGATATCATTTAATCCTCAATCATATTAACCTTTAGTTAAAGAGGTCATTTCTTTCCCTCCTTTCTTATTTTTCTTTTCACCAAAGGAAAGAATTGGAAGGTAGCATCAATGGAATTCATGTAACAGAAATGACACTGTTGACACTTTGCCTTTTTAAAATTTGTCTTCAAATCCCAAATCATAGTATTAGTGTAATTGCATGCTTTGATTAATTATTAATTACTGAACATACAAAATAAATTGTTTCAGCTGTGTAAATAAATAGAAACCTAATTTGCAAATCATTTACATTTCCATCTCAAGTGTTTAAATGTGATTTTACTGTTATCATTTGTTTTACTGTTAGCATTGACTTATTGCATACTAAAATCAGATTACTTCCTCTTCTTTTGAGTTAAACATTTAGGAACTACCAACACTTATGTTCTGTTTTATCCCAGATGTGGATGAATGTTCTGAGAACATGTGTACTCAACTTTGTGTCAATTACCCTGGAGGTTATTCATGCTATTGTGATGGGAAGAAAGGATTTAAACTTGCCCAAGATCAGAGGACTTGTGAGGTAAGCATCTTATGGAGTGAAGCTTCTTAGTTTTCCCCTAAAAGGACAGATTCAGAAATTTATCTCCACACAGCTGAGATATAAGTCAAGAAAATATGGATATTGTACACTAATTACTATATTTCCAAGAGGCTATAAATCATCATCTGTTTAATAATCAAGGTCATATAAGATGTAAACATTGGGTATAATCATGATTCCATTAAAAAAAAGATTGAAGGATGACAGTTTAGAGTGCACTCATCTGTATAACCTGTACAGTTACAAAATGCAAAGCTTATGTTTATTTAAGAAGCCAAGAAAGGCTTAGACTTATATTCCTCTTTGTGAGAAAATCAATCTTGCCATAAAACTTCAGTGAACATATTTTCCAATTCCTGCTTCATCCCATTTTGACAAGTTTGATCATGCCATACTTGTCAGTGCTTGTGAGATTACTAAGAAATTTTCAGGTAGAAACAACTTGTCACAACAGGATTAATAGAGTTTAGGTATAACAAGATTCAGAGAGACTGATTATGTTTATCTGTGTGTTTGAAGCTTGCTTTCAGTTACTTATATTTCATACATAATTGACCCAGGAATCAAATGTTGAGAGGAGGCCCTTGATTTCCCTTTATTGAAGCAAACAAGTCAAAACCTGAAACTCCTACCATTTGAAGCTTTGTTGTTGTTGTTTTTCCCCCTGAGTATCATGTGTTAATGATCCTTAGTCCAATCCTTGCATTTTGTTATTTTTACAAGTCAAGATGAAATTTCATATAAAAATAAGGCTGACAATAGGAAACAAAAATTTCTACGTTGTGATTTGGCTATGCTAAATAGATTACACATGCCTCTATAATTTTACCAGCACAAAGCTCTATACGTCCACACAAATGTACTACTTTTGTATTTACTTGGTAAAGAAAAGTAAGATAAACTAGTTGGAATATGTAGTAACTTTGGTGCTACTTATTGAAATGCCATGCAGTATGAGTACCTGTTGCATAATTTAGTTCTTTATTATTTTAATATTTGTTGTGGTTACACTTCACCACGTGTGCCTTGGAATAGATTTTATGAACATTCTAAGAGGAAATGACACATTATTTCTGGAACTAGCTGCAAATATGTACCGTGTACACAATTTCTCCAGAATGTATTAATATATTCCAAATAACTTATTCCTGAAAGACTTCCATTTTAATTTTGTTTTCTTTTCTTTGTTACTCAAATTTTACTCTTAGAAAAAAAATAATACTTGATACTAGAATTAATGACTAAATCACTTTATCAATTTCTTATAAATTTTTTGGAGGGTATGATGGTATCAGTACTTTTATTTATACCTTCCATGTTTTTTTGTATTCCCTATATTATCAGGATGTTGTTGTTATGAAATTGCCGTCAAGTCAGTTCCGATTCATAGTGACCCTGTATAGAATTTCTGAGGAGCAGCTGGTGAGCTTGAACCAACAACTTTATGGTTCAAACTGACTTTGCAGTCCAGCACATTAACCCACAACACCATACCAGGATAGCATGTTGTTAATCAGAATATTTTCTGAATAAATCAAGAAGTGAATGAATAAGGTATTATTTAATGAAAAATAAATTCGTTCACCTATTTATGAGTCTTGGATCAACTATCAACACTCGCGGAAGTAGCAGTCAAGAGATCAGACGACGTATTGCACTGGGCAAATCTGCTGCACAGGAACTTTTTAAAGTATTGAAGAGTAGAGATGTCGGGTGCGCCTGACCCAGGCCATTGTGTTTTCAATAGCCTCATATGGATGCGAAAGCTGGACAGTGAATAAGGAGGATCGTAGAAGAATTGATGCCTTTGAGTTGTGGTGTTGGAGGAGAATACTGAGGGTGCCATGGACTGCCAAAAGAACCAATAGATCTGTTTTGGAAGAAGTGCAGCCAGAGTGCTCCTTGGAGGCCAGGATGGCTAAGCTTCGTCTCTCCTACTTTGGACATGTAGTCCGGAGGAAACAATCGTTGGAGAAGGATGTCATGCTGGGTAGGGTGGAGGGTCAGAGAAAAAGAGGAAGACCTCCAACGAGATGGATCGGCCAGGTGGCATCATTGATGGACTCGGGTGTGGCAGCGGTGGTGAGGTTGGCCCAGGATCGAACATTGTTTCGTTCTGCTGTGCATGGAGTCGCTATGAGTCGGTTCCGACTCGATGGCACCTGACAACAACAACAACATTTATGAGTCTAAATGAAAGCAATTTAAGATATAATTAATAGAATGCATCGTACCCGGCAGTTGACTAAGAGGATATATGTTATTACTAGAAAAAAGTGTTTAGGACTGAGATTTGCAAAGGAAATATTTAAGAAGAAAAGCTAAACTAACAAACATTGGACAGTACCTTAAATACACACATATTGTTGAAATATACAGCAAAGTGAAAAATATCACTGTATTGCTACTGTAGGTATTCTTAACTAAAATAAATTTTAATTTGAGAGTACCCCAGAGACAAGGGTGGATTACCAATAAGCAAAGTCATGATGTTGTGAAACCAATATGAAATTGTGTACTATGGATTAATAATTAAGTACAAATAAGTCCATATTCCTTCCCTGTCAGAGACTGTAAAATTGAAAAGAAGCTTTGATTCTATAAGAAGGTGTTGTGGGGCTGCAAGATAGACAATTATTAGTCACACCTTGAAGCAGAATCCTTAATGTGGTGAAAATTGTTCACCACAGAGCCGAAGGAGCCCTGGTAGAGCAGTGAATTCTGTGAATTACTCATTGGGCTGCTAACTGCGAGGTCAGCAGTTGGAGTCCATCAAGTGTTCCACCAGAGAAACATAAGGCTTTCTGCTTCCCTAAACATTTACAAGAAGTAGCATATGATCAAGAGCCAATGATATCGAAGGAAGAGGTCCAAGGTGCATTGAAGTCATTGGCAAAGAACAAGGCTCCACAAATTGATGGAATACAAATCTAAGTCTTTCAATAAATAAATGCAGCACTGGAGGCACACATTTATCTATGCCAAGAAGTTTGGAAGACAAGTACCTGGCCAACTGACTGGAAGAGATCCATATTTGTGCCCATTCCAAAGAGATGTGGCCCATTGGAATGTGGAAATAATTGGACAATATCATTACTATCCCATGCAAGCAAACTTTTGCTAAAGATATTTTCAAAAAAACTTGAACCATATACTAACAGAAAACTTTCAGAGGCTCAAGCTAGATTCAGAAGAGGACATGGAATGAGGGATATCATTGCTGATATCAGATGGATCTTGGCTGAAAACAGAAAATAACAGAAAAATGTTTACTGTACATTATTAACTATATAAAGGCTTTCGATTGTGTGGATTATAACAAGCTATGGACAACATTGCAGAGAATGAGTAATATAGAACACTTATTTGTACTCATGAGGAAACTGTACATAGACCAAAATGCAGTTGTTTGAACAGAACAAGGGAACATTGAATGCTTTAAAATTAGGAAAGGTGTGCACTAGGGTTGTTCTCTTTCACCCTACTTGTTCAATCTGTATGCTTAACAAATGATCAGAGAAGGTGGATTTTATGAAGAAAAACATGGCGTCTGAATAGAAGGAAGACTCATTAGCAACTTGTGATATGCAGATGATACAACTTTGCTTGCTGAAAGCCAAGATAACGTGAAATACTTACTGATGAAGATGAAAGACCACATCCTTCAACATGGGTTGCACCTCAACATAAAAAAGACCAAAATCATCACCACTGGACCAATAAATAACATCACGATAAATGGAGAAAAGAATGAAGATGTAAAAGACTTCATTTTGCTTGGATCAACTATCAATACTCATGAAAGCATCAGTCAAGAAATCAAATGGCAAATCTGCTGCATGAGAGCTCTTTAAAGTGTTGAAGAACAAAGATGTCAGTTTGAGGACTAAGGTGTGCTTGATCTAAGCCATGGTATTTTCAATAACCTCATACACATGCAAAGTTTGGCAGTGAATAAGGAAGATCATAGAAGAATTTATGCATTTGAGCTATCATGTTGAATATTAAAAGTACTATGGGCTGCCAAAAGAACGAAACAATTTATATTGGAAGAATGCTTCCTGGAAGCCAGGATGGCCAGACTCCATCTCTCATACTTCAGACATATTGTCAGGAGGGACTTGTACCTGGAGAAGGATATCATGTTTGGTGAAATGGAGGGTTGGAGAAAAAGAGGAAGATCTCAATGAGATTGGCACAGTGGCAGCAGCAGTGGGCTCAAATGTCGCAATGATAGTGAGGTTGCTGCAGGAACAGGCAGTGTTTCCTTCTATTGTGCATAGGGTCACCCTGAGTTGGTAAAGAAAGACTCGATGGCACTAACACCAACAAACATTTACAACCCAAAAATCCTATACTGGGTCAATATGAGTCAGAACTGACTCGAAAGCACACTACCACCACCACCACAGATTAGCCCGTGCTTACCTTATTTATTGATAATCCGACACTGCACAGAGTACACATTTGACAAGAACAGTAGGAACCAGAGAAAAGACCTGACACAAATACCGACCAGTAACCTTTGTGTTTTATTTATTTTCTTTTGTGCAGGCTGTTCCAGTATGCCTTCCTTTGAGCCTTGAAAAAAATGTTGAGATACTTTACTTGGCAGAGCAGTTTGTAGGGGCTGTTTTATATATAAGATTTCGTTTGCCAGAAGTCACCAGGTGAGGAACCAATCTCAATAATATTTTCTAAAGGTTAAGTAGATATAGAGAAATGACTGAAAAGGTTTGAAATGAACATAGCTGTATTTTTAATCATATCATTTAGTTATATTATCAATAAAATGATTTGCTGTTGCTGTTGCTAAGTGCCGTCCAGTTGCTCATAGCAGCCTTGTAAATGGTTTCCAAGGCTGTAAATCTTTGCAGCAGAAGAAAGCCTCATCTTTCTCCTGAGGAACTGCTGGTAGGCTCAAACCACTGACCTTGAGGTTCCCAGTCTAGTGATTATCTTACAAAGCCACCGTGCTCTGCTTCCTTTTCTAATGAGTACATATTTAGTAAAAAACTGGGAAAGCCGATTTGTTTGTGAAAATTTCACTTTTATATTATTATGAAAACTAGCAAAGAGAAACTATATGCAAAGTGTTATTTTTAGAATAGTGTTATATTTAAAATTGCTAAAGTCACATGATTTTAAAATAGAATTTTAAAGAACTGCATCAGGTTCTTGTGGCTGAATATCTGATTATTTTTGAGTCCTGGTGTGGCACTGTAAGATAAGCACTGGACTTCTAACTGCAAGGTCAGTGGTTCAAACACACCAGCTGCTCCTCTGAAAACAGGGTCCCCATGAGTCAGAGCCACCTTGATGGCACTTAACAACAACAACAACATCTGAGGTTTTTTTTTTTTCTTAATTAGTGTATCCTTTCTTTGGGCATTTAACTTTTAAGAAAGTAAAATAGGTCTGATTTTCACATTTTTAAAATGTTCTGTTAATTTGCATGTCTTATTATATTTTTCACTTTCTCAAAAATAAAAATTATATTAAGATACTAGTATTTTATATAGGCTTAAATACCTCTTATGAAAAGTATCAGTTATTCTTATAGTTAGTTTGTTGTTGTTAAGTGCTTTTGAGTCAGTTCTGATTCATAGTGACCCTTTATAGGGTTTCTGAGGAACTGACCTTGCAGTTAGCAGTCCATTGCTTATCCTAGTTATCTGCTTATATTTTTAAATCATGATTCTACTTTAGTTATTACATTTTCTCAGAGATATATATTGTTGGAACTACAAGAAAGAAATTGTAATATGGTTGAAATGATAGATGAGAAACATATCTGATACTGATTATAGAGTCATATATTTAAAATACCTTAGTTAAAAGGCATGCATATTTAGAACTTAATTCATTAGGTATGTAAATGATTATTTATTAAATAATTGAACTAAATTTATTGAAGTTCTATCATTACGGAACATTGGTATTTACTCTACGATTCATTGATGTTTTGTGATCCTACTTTTCTTCCAAGATCTGGCTTTTCCTTTTCATACATTTCAGATAACATATATATATATTTTTTAGTCTTGTACAGTAGACAAACCATCCTTGTTATAAGAATAATGATAATGATCAATGAAAAATTAATTCTGTCATACTGTCAAGCACTTTTAGGATATTCATTCTCACTGACCACTCACAATAGTTTGATCCCTAACCTTGAGTCAGAATTGGCCAGACTGTTTTTTTTTTTTCTAATTGTTTTCATATATATTTAGCTTAAACTTTCATTGAATTATAATGTACATGCAGAAATGTATGTGTATCATACATGTACTCATTGATTAATTTTTATAAACTGCCACCCATATAACTAGCACAAAGAACAAATAGAACTTTTTTCTAGTTTTTGCAAATTATTTTACCTTTGTTTTCCATGATTAAATCCTTCCCCTACTCAAAAGTTAACAAGTTTACTTTTTAATTCTACAAAACTGTTCCCAAATGTAATGAATCAGTATGTTGATGTACTCCAGAAAGACAATATACAGAACACAGCCCTTTGAATTATCGGTTTAGTATGAATTTACAAAGAGAAGGAAATGGAATCTATAATGGAATCAACTTCTGGAAGATCCTGAGCATACACAGATTTGGATTTGGCAAGATAATACATGTTTTACATAGCAGAATGCTCAGAGGGTTATGAAAGATAATTTAAGTCTTTCTTTAAAGCAAACTGGTGTTTTAAAATATATATAGTAAATTTGTACTATATTGTTATCCATTCAACACACTTTACTCCACATTTTACCCTTTTTAGAACATTTCCTTGGAATTCTAAAGATATTTCATTCTATATTCTTTTATTTGTTGAAAGGGAGCTGCGCCACATTGTAAGTGTTCTCCCTGTCAGTGTTACCATGCTTTGTTGTTGTTGTTAAGTGCCATCGAGTCGGGTCCGACCCATAGCGACCCTGTACAGGGTTTCCGAGGGTATGTAAATCTTTACGGGAGTAGAAAGCCTCATCTTTCTCCCGCGGAGCGGCTGGTAGTTTCGAACCGCTGACCTTAAGGTTCGCAGCTCGATTCGTAACCACTACGCTACCAGAGCTTTACTCCACCTCAAATTTGTAGGAGACATGTTCTGTGACGTACCTTAGTGTTGTTGCTAAGTGCTGTCGAGTTGGTTATGACTCATAGTGACCATGTATAAGGTTTCTGAGGAGCGGCTGGTAAGCTTGAATCATTGACCTTGCTGTTCAGTCTGACCTTGCAGTCCAGCCTGTTAACCCAGAGCCACATCAGGACTCTGGCATACCCTAGTGGGGAAAGACAAAAGAAAACGGAACACAAAAACAAGCTTGTTGCTGTGGAGAGAATTCTGTCTCTTGGTGTTACACAATAAAACAGCTATACAGCTATATAGAGTTTTCTAGGAAGTGTAGTGGTTCTGTAGGATAAGCACTGGACTTTGAACCACAAAGTCGGTGTTTGAGCTCACCAGCCACTCCTTGAGAGAAAGATGAGGCTTTCTGCTCTCACAAAGGTTTATGGCATTTAACAACAAATAGGGCTTTCTTGGCTGAATCTTTACAGATGAAGTTTATCAGACTTTCTTCCACAGAAATTCAAGGTTTCTTCCAACTGCTAATCTTTAGGTTAACAGCTTATTGCAAACCACTTGTACCACCCAGAAAACTTAGACCTTAATGTTAAATCAAAATTCACTGCTGTTAAGTAGATAACTAACTTATTGTCACCCTGTAGGGCAGACAATGATCTATTGCTCCTGTGATTATATTATATGGCAGAAGGGATTTTGCAGTCATGATGAACTCTGGTAGTGTAATGGTTACAAATTGGGCTACTAATCTCAAGGTCAGCAGTTTGAAACTACCATAGGTTCCGCAAGAGAAAGACAAGACTTTTTGCTCCTGTAAAGATTTACAGTCTCAGAAACCCTACACAGGGTTGCTGTGAGTCAGAACTGACTTCATGGTGCATAACCATCAGTTATGTTCCCAAGGAGCCTTCTGTGCAGTGGCCAAGTGCTTGGCTTTTAATTAAAAGATCAGTAGTTCCAGCCCACCAGCAGTTTCATGGAAGAAAATACCTAGTGATCTGCTACCATAAAAATATTAACCTAGGAAACCTTTTAGGGTAGTTCTACTTTGTCACATAGGAACCTTGATAGCATAGCAGGTTATGAGCTAGACTGCTAAATGCAAATTCATCAATTTGAATCTACCAGTAGCTCTGTGGGGAAAAAGACGAGGTTTTTTGCTTCAGTAAAGATTTACAGCTTCAAGAAACCCTATACATGGTTGCCATGCGTCAACTCAATAGCACTTAACAACAACAGAAAATTGGAGTTTACTGAATAACCCGCCACTAAACCAACAATTAAGGTCCCAAATTAGTTGATTTTGAGGTAATCAAGAGGGTGAGTATACCGATGGACCTGACTTAATTAGGGAAATCTATTAATAAACTGACAAAATAGTTTTTAAAAATGGGAACCACACTAAAACAGCAATTAGAAAGCCAGAAGATTAACAGGAAGAATTCATAAGTAGATAATGCACTGAAAGCAAAGAAATAGAATTGAATCAATGGAAAACTGAGTTATTAAGCTTAAGAAAAATCTCTCAATATTCATCTGCTAGAGGAACAACCAAAAAAAAAAGAACAAAATTAACAGAAGAAAGCCTAAGATTTATGTGAGACACTATCAAGAGGCATAACTTACATGCAATAGGAATTCCAGAACAGAAAGAGACAAGAAAAACCATACAGAATATTGTCGAAGAGTTGTTGGAAGAAAACTTCCCTAACATCATGAAAGACAAGATGATAGTCATTCAAGAAGTTAAATGAACCCAAACAGGATAGACCCGAAAAGAAAAACACCAAGACATTTTATAAAAATTCTCAGTACTAAAAAGACAAGAAAAGAATCTTGAGAACAGCTCAGGAAAACTGAAAAGTTACCTGCAAAGAGGAACTACTAAGATTAAGCTCTAATTTCTCAGCAGAAATCATATATGCAAAAAGACAATGGAATGGCATACATAAAACTCTCATAAAAATTTGCCAACCAAGAATCATATATCCAGCATAACTGTCTATCAAATATGAAAATGAAATTAGTTTGTTTTTAGACAAACAGAAGTTAAGAATTTGTCAACACCAGACCTACCTTACAAAACATATTTAAGGGAATGCTTTGGATAGAGAATCAGCAATAGAACACTAAAAACATGACGATATCACCTGAGACTTTACCCAGGTATGTTTTTTGTTGTTAAGTGCCATCGTTAAATTCAAATCTACCTTGAAGTCCAGCGCATTATCTTGCAGCACCACACCAGCACTCAAACCCAGATATTGATAAGTACTCAAAGCAAAACAGGTCTGTAAGACTGAAAATAGATGAGAGAGAGAGTTACAACAGCAACAAAAATAAAACAAAAACCCATAAATTAAAAACAAGGAATAATATATTTGCAGAACTTATGAAATCAAATTTCAAGGAAAAAAAAAATACACCTAACTGTACCCTTAAAATCTAGAACAAGTCTCAGTCCTAACCCAACCCTTATCCATAATATTCACCCTAGTCCTAATCATAACCCTAACACTAAATAAAGTCCTAGGCCTAGCCACTGTCCCAATCCTAACCCTCACACATTACTCCTACCCACCCCCATTTTTCTCAAAGTGGGACTATACTGTTTTAGAAGGAGGTTTGATATAACATAGTTTCAATATAAAAAAAAAAAAAACAACAAACAAATCTATCAATGGACGAAGTCATATGACAAGAAGCTAAGAGCAGTCCCAAGCAATAGCTAGCTAACAAGCAAACAGGGATCTATCGCAGTCTTCCAACTGGTGTGGCACTGTAGGATAAGCACTGGACTGCTAACTGCAAGATCAGCAGTTCAAACCCACTAACCACTCCTCAGAAACCTTATATGGGGTCACTATAAATTGGAAAGAACTCCACAGCACTGTAAGAATAACAGAACAACATAAAGGGTGAGTTTTGGAGAAGCGTCTTATTTTCAGATGGATGATTTCATTATTTCAGAATAATGAAACCCTGACTAGTGGGAAGTGTGTTCAGACTTCTGACCCCTAGAACTGTGGGATGATGAATGGTTGCTATTTTAAACCTGTGAATTTGTGATAATTTGTTACATACCACAAATATATACACCCACTCTCTGTCCAATGATCTAGGATGTGATTTGTAGCGATTCTACTTCTTAAGTCTGGGACAATCCTAAATTACTGGGGCAATCTTCTTACTATTCATAGGACCTACGGTTTGTATTCAGGAATTGTCCAGGAGTGCCATTAAAAGAGAAGATTTCGCACAGCTTCTCCATCAACCACAACCCTGAGAAAGCGACTTTTGTTTTGTTTTGTCTTGCTATTTGAGCTAGGCTTGCTGCATCAGAGGGTACTTTCTATATGTGAGGTATTTGACCTGAATCTGTAGGTCTGAAGTAACAACAATGTCTGTTTTCTATTTGACAGCCACTCATTTGTCTCCTTATGTTTCCTATAACATTTGTTAGTGTCATCAGATATGAATCTATTACATCTAGGTTATGCTGGCCAGAAAATATATCCTGTTGCGTTTCTTCTATTTATTTTGAAATTTAGAATACTTTTCCAATTCAGTTGTTTTTTAGAAACTTATTCCTTCTTCATTTTTTTTAATGATAAGCATTAAATTTCATAACTCTGCTGTGAAACATGTCTTTATTTTTAAGCTCTTGCAGCAATTTTGATAAAGGAAAAGTCTACTTATTCATAGGAAATATTTACTTTAGGATGTTTAAAAAATGCAGTAATGGACTTTAGAGTAAGAAATCTGACATAATAGTATTTGGTGATTTCTTCCTATAGCAACATGTTGTGGATCTAGATGAGGGAACTTCAAATCGTTCACGGAAATAATTATCATCTTTTAATTACATTTTCCACAAACTTTTAAAAGTATTATTGTGAATTGAGTGAAGGTTTATAGAGCAAATCATCAGTTTTAAATGAAAACAAATCATATACTTTGTTTCATCTCAGTGATTGCAATCGCTTCTATATATAAGCCATTTGCTCCCTATGATTCTTATTTCCATTCAACTGTTTTCCCCAACCCTTCTGAATTTTGTCCTTAGGTAAATGATGCCCTTTTGATTTTGAATGGTTGACCATTCCATGGTGTGCATCCCTCACTAGTGTTGTTGTCCCCCACCCCAAATACTTATCTACTGCTTGGCTGAAAATTGAGCCACAATGGTGAGTTCAGTTCCAGATCTGAAGGGTGACCAAGGGCCATAGTCTTAATTTATTCCAGTCTTTTTCTAATCAGTAAACCTAGTCTTATTTTTAAATTTGAGGGTTTTTTTTTTTTTTTCTTTTCACATTTTCTACCAGTCTATCCAGGACCTTCTAAGGAGCTCTGGTAGCGTAGTGGTTATGAATCAGGCTGCTAGCCGCACGGTCAGCAGTTTGAAACTACCAGCTGTTCCGCGGGAGAAAGATGAGGCTTTCTGCTCCTGTAAAGATTTACAGCCTCGGAAACCCTGTACAGGGTCGCTATGAGTCAGAACTGGCTCCACAGCACATAACCACCACCACCATCTAGGACCTTCGAATACAATCCCATTCAAAACAGTTGGTAATGATCAGGTTCATGGAGGCTAATGTTCACATGTTCCATTAGTCCACTAGACTAATGGAGCTTGTGAAGATTCCACGCATCTTCAGTTTTCATCATTCTTCTTTTTGTCTGCACAGGGAGAGACCAATAGTTGCTACAAGCATTTGATTAACCTTAGTTCCACAACCTTAGTATTTGGAGATAATGGTGTGGAATTCCTTCTTGCTGTGTGGCACTTAGCATGAACACTGGACTGCTATCTGGCAATGTTGGTGGTTCAAACCTACCAGTCACTCCATGGAAACCCTATACAAGATCACAATGAGCCAAAACCAACTTGATGGCACTTAACAACAACAACAAAAATAACTTACTTAACAATGATCTTGAATTTTGAAGCTTTGACTTAAATTACCTTTATTTAAACTTAATCCAGATGATTTATAGTGATTCAACTACTTTTCCTCCCTCCCCCCCCCAAGTTTGCCTTCTTCTTTTTTTTTAATCATTTTGATTTTCTGTTCCCATGGAGACTCCAATGATGATTCTCATAAACATTTTTCTTCTTCTATAATAGCATAGACTCCTGGTGTGGCACTGTAGGATCAGCAATGGACTGATTGAACCACAAGGTCAGAGGTTCAAACCTACCAGCTGCTCCTTGGAAACTCTATACAGGGTCATTATGACACGGAACTGACTCAGTGTCACTTCACAACAACAACAACATAATAGCTACACACATGTCCAGAATCTTAACAACAGTAAGCATTGCCAGAGCTCAGATATCTTAAAAATACTTGGCTCTACTATATCCCTTCAACTCTCCTCTCATTATATCCCTTCAGCTCTCCTCTCATATGTACCAGTACAGTGATTTTTGCAATCAGAATTGGGGGGCGGGGGGAGCTTTTGAAATCAAGCTAACAATACATTTTGAAGTTTTTGACTTGTTCCTTCCTTACCTCATATGAAGACTTAATTATATTTGCAATCATCCAGATGCTTTCTGTAGATCTCTGTGAATTATTCCTTCCTGACATTGGTGGATAAACCACTCATGAAATTATAACATCTTTTACTAATCACAGATGGATGTAGGAAAAAAAATCTTAATGTCAGATTGGACTGTGCATAAAAGGCTCCAGGAAAAATACAATATGCCTAAAATTTGTGCATGTGTATTAATTCCAGCATATAAAGGATCACCTTTAAAATGTATGCCAAAAAAAGATGAAAATTACCAACTCATCTGTCCACTGGGAAAAAAAGGCTCCAAGAATAAGGAAGGATATATAATGAGTTGATGCTAAACACACGTGGGGCAAGAGATTACATCAGCAATTTGGTTATACTCTTCTTTATTATTATTATTAATTACAGGAAACAATATAAACAATTGACTCTCCATTATTTACTGCTTTCCAGTACAAGATTAAAAAAAAAAAAAAAGCAATAATAAACTGAATCATCCAGATTTCTGAGTACTAAGCATCCCTGTTTGTCCATTGTTTAGCTTTTCAGCTGAATTTGATTTCCGGACATATGATTCAGAAGGTGTTATACTTTATGCAGAATCTCTTGATCACTCAGCATGGTTCCTGTTGGCACTTCGTGATGGAAAGATTGAAATTCAATTTAAGAATGAGGATACAGCCAAAATCATCATTGGAGGCAAAGTTATTAATAATGGTCTATGGAATATGGTATGTTATCTAGATTTCATAAAGAATCTTTCCACCTTGTTGCAGTTTGTATAAAATCATTTAAATTTATTACTATAGTTATACCAAAACCAAAATGGGTTTGGGTTTATCTGATATTATATGAAATATATTGTGCATGCTGTAACAGCCTACAAGATGTTACCATCACTTAATATATCTAGAATTTTCTATAACTATCTGAAATTATTTTCAGTAATTTCTTTCAACTATTTAATCTTTTCCTTTGTTTAGTAACTGTTGTAGGATGAATGGTGGTTATATCTTCAATAAGCATATATAACAGTATATGCAAAGACAGCATTGACCAAGAATAATTACAGTTGATAGCCTCACATATTTATAAAATGAAAGAGAAATATGAATAGTAAAATAGCTGAAAAGTTAATTTAATTTATGTATAAGCACAAAGGTAGATAATTTTGCATAAGCTTCCTACACTTAAAAAATGAAACAAAGCAAAAAATCACAAACCCATTGCTGGAGAGTTGTTTCTGACTCGTAGCAACTCTTTAGAGCAGAGGAGCTATAATCTTTATGGAAACAACTGCCAGGACTTTCTCCTGCTGAATGGCTGTGGAGGGTTCAAGCTGCTGTCCTTTTAGTTACCAGCTGAGCATTTAACCATTGCACTACAAGGGCTCCTCAACATTGAACATTGTTAGGTAGTCCCCATCATAAACCTTTATTTTAATAATTAGAAACTACCCTTTAGTCTACTGAATTAATATGGAACTTTTTTTTGGGAGGGGGCGGGGGGAAGGACTGTTGATAGTCTAATGTGAAGAAGGAAAAATCTGCTGCATAAGTCCTCTTTAGAGTGTTCAAGAGCAAAGATAACAGTTTGAG